TCTATCTATCTATCTATCTATCTATCTATCTATCTATCTATCTATCTAATCTATCTGTCTAATTTATTTGCTGCCCATCTTGCTGCAAGGTCACTGGGTAGCTTACAATGTTAAAAGCAATAAAACCATAACAGATACAGTCTAAGAACAATAAAAATACAATTTATAATTAAAAGATGCGGGGAGGGAGGTGGGATCTGCTATTAGTCTGTCAACCCCCTTCAGCGTAATGTACCCCCATTGGGGCCCAAGACCTTCTGGCAGAGCTGGGTCTTCAGGCTCTCTTATGGAGGGTCAGCAGGATGGGAACAGATCTCACCTGGTTTGGTGGGGGCGGAGGCAAGATGTCCCAAAAGGCAGGAATCACAGCTCTTCTCCTGGACCCCACCAGCCAGAATTTCTTGAACAACAGGGTCTGCAGCATGCCTCCTTTGCCGGCCTGGTTGGGGTGAAACAATCCCATTGGACTGTGATGGGAAGTAATCTGCAAGGCTTTAAAGGTAATAACCAACTCCTTGAATTGCACCCAGAAGCAAACTGGCAGTCAGTGCAGCTGGCAGAGCAGTAGTATACTAAGGACCACTCTAGGGGCCCCAAGGACAGCCTGCATTCTGCACTGGCTGGAACTGTCAAATGATCTTCCAGGATAGCTCCATGTTGAGTGCATTGCAGTAGTCCACATGTGACCATGGCTTGAATGAATATGCACAGGACTCCTGATCTTGGAAAGGGCGCAACTAGCACACAATGCAAAGTTATACAATTTCCTAGCCACGACTGCCATCTGCACACCAAAATTATCTGGGATAGTGCCATCCCATCCAGAACAAAGGAAGTCAAAAGTCCTGGATCTTGAGTTTCTTTATACCCAAAGCCATTCTGATCTTACCAGGATTCAGTCGAAGCAGTCCAAAAAGCTATTTTAGAGTGTCGGAGAGAGGGAGTTCCATACAAAGAAATCTCTGTATCTCGAATCAAATTATTACATGCAACTAATAATAGTATGTGAAATAAATAGATTTCATTCCCAGGTCCAAAGCAACTTAAGGTTGGTGATCCTGAAGGCAAAGGTAAATTAGAAATTGTAAAGCAGCAGCATCTGCTCTTTTATGAACCTCTTTCTCTGCCATGGGATCTATAAAAAAGGAGTTACATTTGGTTTTCAAAAAATTCAACTTTTTCCAAAGGCTCAGCCATCTTTGTTTGCACATGTCTCCCTTTCCCCTCCAGTTTCCCAGGTTAATTCCAGAATTGGGAAATAGGCTTAACAGTGTCTTTCTGTTCTATGTAAGTCCAGGTATTTGCCTGTCTTAACCTGGGTGTTTTTTCAAATTTAATTAATGTTTTTGATGATGATGAATTATTATTCATCATAAGGCAAACGTGATTTCTTTTAGTTAGCCAGAGGCAGCCCATAATGTGAATGGTCCATACATATCAAGTAGCTGTCAGTTTCTGCTCTAAAACCTTTAAGGAAATTCAGCCTTCAGAAAACCCAAGCTTTTAATTAAATGTGCTGTAATAAATTCTAGGGTTCTGAAGGCAGCTTTTAACTAAGACATAAATAACAAAGGCAGGTATACTGTTTAAAATTACATTGATTTTCGGTACTAGAAATTGAAAGGTAATGCGATTATCTGTTACTTCTTTGTGAAATGCCTGTCAAACTAGGCTGTGTATTTTAATTGGATAACTGCTTTTTTATTTTGAATAGGAAAAAGGAGGAGTTGGAAGCAGCACTGCAGGTAGCTCAGGTATGTCCGCTTGTTTCTCCAGTCTTCCACCTCTTCTTCAGGAACCCTAGCAGAACTGTCAGGGAATTAAGCAGCCGATGTCCAAATGAAGTCAGAGACGTTGACACGAACTTGTAGCTTTATATAAATAAATGTATTTCACAACTATATACAAAGCCAACTAGATTGTCAGGCAAACTGGAGTATCATGAGGTAAATCACAGAACACACAGGGCGCACAGAAACTTTTGAAACCGCAGTGACAATTGATGTTCTCCTTTTGAGCCAACCAGCAACAGGGTGGTTTTTTTTCAAGTTATGCAGAAGGTTTCAGGCAATTATAAAAAATGGATTCAATATTTTAGGAATTAGATTCTGCGCATTCATACAGAAGTCTAAATTAATACAACATCTCGGTGGCACACTAGGGAAACTTTCTGCTTTCATCTCTAAAACTATTTTCAGAATTTGATAGTGCTGAAATCGTACAAAATTTAAAAAGATTTTGACTATTTTTTAAAAAAACAGGGTTTTTAAATTTTGAGTGGGATTCTATTGGATTAGAATCACAGGTATTCACAGAAGAATTCTAGTGAATTCGGTTTATTGTCTCTTAATTTGGGGCTGGTTGAAAAGCATTGGTTCCAACCATGGATAGAACAGGCCTCAGACAGTAGTTGTCTTTGGTTTGGGTTTTGTTTTTTTGGTAAATACCATACAAATACTAGTGTATCAAAGGAGATACACTACCCATGCTGATCTTCTTTTGAATTACATTCAGCTAAAGGAGATTTAGTGAATATTCCATATTTTTATCTTTGAAAAGTTAGAATTAAACAAATCTTGTGAACTGGGGAGCAATGAAGCACCACTTGGTGGTTATGATAGCACCTGAATCTATCGATATGACTATTGAATCTATTCAGATCTATTGATGACTGCCTAAAATGATTTATGAAAGTTAGTTATTTTCTTGCATTTTCAAATCAGATGGAAGTACTAAAAACCCAGAAGGAGAATCAGAAGGAGAACCATCCACTGCGGGAAGAGGAACAGCGTCAAATGGAGGAGATTTTGCGGTTGGAAAGGGAAATTGAGAAGCTGCAGTGGCAACAGAAGGCAGATCATGTGTCCATTACATGTGAGAATACCAAGAATGAGATGAAGCGGCAGCGGGAAGAAGAAATACAGAGACTAGAGAAAGAAGCATCCAGGGTTGCACAGGAGTTCTTAGAACTTTTAGATTTTGGGAACCTGGATGAAAGTGTGCAAAACTTAGAACGCTCCCTGTCGAATGAAGGAACTCTCAACATTGAATGTAGCCTTGTTGCTCCACTAGCTGAGGAAGAAGAAGATGAAGGTTTTCCTGCTGATGAAGAAGGGCCGCCAGTCCCCAGCCCAAGTCTGTTGAACCAGGACAGTAGCACCAGGACCAGCGATAACTATTATTCAGAGGAAGACACATCTCCAAATATGCCAGTGTCTGGGGAGGATGAGAACAGAGAAGGTAATGCTCTGCTTCCTTCTACTGAGAGAGCTGGAAGCCCTCAGAAAGAACATCTGAAAAGTATATACTGGATAGGCTCGGAAGTAACGCAGAATGACATGGTAGAGGTGGAAGATCCAATTTACAGCTTGCCTCCAGATGTGGAATCAGATTATGATCACGAGGAATATGATGGCATTGTAGATGTCAGCAACACATCAATTGAGCCACTAAACAGGGAGGAAGGCCTGCGCAATTCTCATAGCAACGGTTTGGATTCCAATCGTGGAAGCTTGGACTCGGTGAGAAACTTTCATAACCATTGCAGTTGAATATTCCTGCTGTTAACCTGTTTCATCTTACATAGGTGATAATGTCATTAATATTTCCTTAATTGATATCATTGTCAAATTTAATCCATAAATTCCAATGAGCAACATTGGCTTGAGTTCCATAATGGAGGAAAGGCAGGATAAAGTTATTATTTTCATATGCCCTCAGAGACACATATGCTAATTTGTTCAGTCCATCGTAACATGTCTTTTACCCTGTTGGTTATAACCATCTGTTGTGACAACGCATTTGTTTATGGCTTACTTATTATGCATACCTAATGAACTGTTTGTAGCATTATTGTATATATATATCCTGGGAATACTTAGATCATCTATATGTAATCTACGTCAGTTTTTATATATTTGGTCACTGGACTCTTCCTTATATTACAGCTTCTTATTTCCCTGGGAGATTCTCTCTCTCTCTCTCTCTCTGTGTGTGTGTGTATGTGCAAAAGTTATAAGATAAAGTTGATATAAACTAGGCACACTTCTTTTGACCTTGAAATAGTGTTCAATGGTTGCTTCTAATTGTTCTGTTGCCTGAGCCAAAAACCAGCCTCTGTGTTGTTTTTACATATTAGGTTAGTATTAATATTCTAAATCTCCTTCTATCTAAGTAATCCTGAAGTCATTCTCAATAGTTATTTCATTTATCCATCTCAATATATCCTTGCTTCCTTCTTGCCGGATCTGAATCTTGTTTATTATTCTTGTGGGGATTGAGTGAAGAAATATTTTGCCCATCAAGAAAGTGATAAATTACTTCATGCAAATTTTCCTTATCAAATTAATGATCCCACTATTTTTTCTTAACTCTGTTATTAAAAGAGATATCTCAAGGCATATAATTCAATTAGACAATTCTAGACAACAGTGTGATATGTTTTAATATAATCCTCTGGAATTTTCATCCATGCTGTTGTTTATATATGGCTGCTATAATTGATGGATTGATTATGTCCATTAAGTCAGTTTTTATTCTTGATGACCATATAAATAGACTATCTCCAGGGTGATCCATTTCTATTCCTTGGCCCTTCACTGCATTGAGTCCATCCAACTTGGTACTAGTCATACTTTTTTCTTATTTGTTTATTAAATGAATTCTTGAATGAGGGGTTTTGATGCAACTTCTATACAGTTGTTACTGTACCCAGGAAATAATAGATGCTGGATAGTTTACCAGATAACAATAATTCATTTTTCTCCTAGTTTCTAGATACCAAAGATGAAGAAGGGGATACTTATATGGACACAGATGAAGAATTCTGTAGTGGCCGGGTCACTCTGTTCAATGGATCTGGGCCCGCATATTTTCACAGCTATCTCTACATGAAGGGTAAGGGGTTTCTCAGTTCCATGAATTTAGCAGGTTATCTGCCTCTTCAATCACTCATCTTAACTTGGTACATTCTTTCTTTTCTCTTTTTGCTTACTTGGTCCTGTTTTCGTTCCAGTATAAAATATATCGTATTGTAGACAAGGAGTTTCAAAGGATTTTTTTTTTTGCTAAAGTTGTTTCTAGATCAAGTTTCTAGATCACCTTTAGGAGTAGATAAACTGGGTTTCATATTAGAGATACTCTAAGATACTTCTCCCATTTTACAGATAAGTTTTTTCAGGATTCTAGATCTTCAGGATTTCCTAAAAGAGTATATATGTTGAGCTTTGTAGATGGGGGAAATGAACCCAGATTCTGTATTGTTGGCACATTGGTTTTTGTGAGCCATGTTTGCCCAATTGTAGCAAGCTTCTTCTATAATAACTGTATAGTAATGGTTCAAAATCGCTAATAGCACTAATACCAAAAAGGCTTTCTCCCAAAAAATAACAGCAATCAATTTTATGAGTCCTTTGTGTTGTAGGGGGAAAAAAATACAGCAATGTATTTTTTTCTTTCTTTCTTTAAAAAATTTCCCTTTTCCCTATTTCTTTTTTCAATAAAATCATAAATAGGTGTTAGTAAATTACGGGATGTGAGTTTTTTATTTTTATATTGGCAATCAGAGTGAATTGGAAGCTATTCCCATTGGTTTATTGTCATGGATGGATCACTCCCTGTTGATCTTAGAGTTCTCCATGTCTCTCCCACTGCCGGAAGTGACACGTCTTCTGATGGCCCAATAAAGTCTATCAGTCCTATATGCGTATTGATTTTTGTAATTTCTTCTTTTTATGTACTTAGTATTGTTTTTATCTTGATTCATCATCAGCCTCCCAAAGTCACAGTAGTGGGGTGAACAGCAATATTGTTTAAACCAGGGGTCCCCAACCACCGGGCCGCGGACTGGTACCGGTCCGTGGAACATTTCCTACCGGGCCACTGGTTTGCTGGGCGCCGCCATCTTGTTTGACAAGAAAGTGCTTCCGGGTGAGCTTTTCCGGTTGGAAAGCGGAGTTTGGGTGCTGAAGGAATCCTTGCGCCTTAGTTTCATCGAAGGGGGGGGCTTCAAATGAAACTAAGGCGCGAGGATTCTTTCAGCACCCAAGGCAAGGCGAGCCGAGCGACCGTCCCGAAGCCGTCCTGAAGCGAAGCCCATCGACAAAGGTACAAAGAAGGAGTTGAAGGTGGTGGGGAGAAGCGGGGGACGGCTGGCTGGCCGGTCGCTCGGCTCACCTTGCCTTGTCATGCGTGCTGATGCCGGTACCGGGCCGCGGATCATTTTGTGATGCTGGTACCGGGCCGTGGCGCAAAAAAGGTTGGGGACCACTGGTTTAAACCATAGGTGGATCTTAACTCTACTTATAGGAAGTATTTAATTTTTTAGGGTAGTCTTACAATCATGGACAGAAATATGAATATATCAGTATCTTGTCAGATACAGCTAGAGAAAATGTGGTTAATACTCAGTGTTTTTCCAACTTGGTTTCTTTCTCTTGCAGGGGGGCTGATGAACCCCTGGAGGCGGCGTTGGTGTGTCCTAAAAAACGAGGCCTTTATGTGGTTCCGAGCCAAACAGGAGGCCTTAAAGTCAGGCTGGCTTTATAAGAAAGGAGGAGGCATGTCCACATTATCTCGGCGGAATTGGAAACGGCGCTGGTTTGTCCTGAGAGAGGCCAAACTGATGTATTTTGAGAATGACAGCGAAGAAAAGCTGAAAGGAACAATTGATATCAGGAAAGCAAAGTACGGGCAATGCTATTATGTCTTTCCTTTCAAGGAAAACAAGGCTCGACCATTTAACCTACCTCATTATTTTACTTCTTTGTTCACTGTTGGAAGGAAAAGAGCAAAATTCTCAGCAGCCTGGTCTTCAGAAAAATAATTTTAGGATCTAAGTCCGAGAGTACTTCAAACGTAGCTCAAAAGCTGTGAAAGAAAATTGACATTTCTCTGAAGGGGAGCATTTTAAACTTTTGAATTCCAGTGTTCTCATTCATGCAAAATTGTTCTTGTCTGAAAACTTTCTAGTCAGTTTGACTCCCATTTGTCTCTATGATGTTCATTATTTATAAAGAAGGCTCTTTACCCGCCTTTCCCTGCTTACTTTCCATTAGCTCCATCTTCAATATTAGGCTACTTTCTTACCCCCTGTTTGGATCCTTCCAATTGCTTGGTCTGAAAAAAAAAACAGTCAGCCTTGAGAGCTACTAGAGAGCCCCAAACTGTATCCAAATGTAAGGAGAAGTTAACTCAGCTCTAAACCTTAACCACAAACTAATGTATTATTATTAGTCATTTTGAGGTGGAAAAAATAGCAATATGGAAGAAGTGTTAAACTATTGATACCACTAACTGTGATATCCTTCTGAATTCTCTTAATCAAATTGGTCCTTGGGAATATAAATTTTTGCAACAGTTTATATCCTTAAATGGTGCTGGGATATTGCTGTTCACTTATCTCACATGTTGCATCTTATTATTCCCCATGCTGCTCAATAGCTACTGTATATGAAACTGCTGGGAGACATCAGGTGTTTTAGAGTGGAGCATTATTAGTGTTTTGATGAGACTAATTTCTATTTTTCCTTAATTCAAGGAAGCACTTAGCATACTTCAATATTACCTGAACTTAATACTGGTTAGGTGAATTAGAACAAGTTGACGTTAAATCCAGACAAGACACTTGCACTGTTGGGAAATATGAAACTGGACTTGGGGACTTAGTCTGATTTGGATGCGACTGTCTTCCCCAGTCTTAGAAAGCTGCTTGATCTTCATTTGTCGTGGATTTGCATATAGGTGACTGCTATAGTAAGAAGCATTTTTAGGTCTCTGACTATGAAATGTTCACTTAACCCATACTAAAGTCTTCTCTATTGGTCTTTCTTGAATGTTTGACCTTGCCAGCAAGGATGACCTGAGCTTCTTCTATAAGACAAGATGAGCTCCAAACTTCCTTAATGCCAAATATGCCAAAGAGAGAAAGCCTAAAATTTATTGGATAGCTTTGGCAGCCTGGTTCTTAATGAATGGTCTTTTGCAGGGAAATTGTGGATATTCACGAGAAAGAGAATGCCCTCGATATCGTGACAGGTGATCGGGTTTATCATATAGTGGCGGAGTCACCAGAGGATGCCAGGTATGTGGTTAAACAAAAGTTGTGCCTGTCTCTGAAACTTTTCCTCCGCAGCTCCAATTCCTAGAAATACCAACTGTTTTTCCTTTGTGGAGCTATAAGATCCTCCTTGCAACCAATTCACAAGCCCCACTGAACTAGAAAATGTGTAATCTCTGCTAAAGTAGCACATAATTACAGATACTTCCTATCTGTTGCTATACTATGATTCAAGAATCAGAAGATTACTCAGAACTCTTAATATCTGAATTTTTTGACAGTGAAATATAGTAGTCTGTTTACTATGTAAAGCTTTCATCATCTAAAGGTACTTAACTGTATTGTATCTGTTTGTGCCATATTATAGTTTAAATTGGGTGATTTATTTAATGAAACTGATACGTTAATGGCCTTTTTAGTCTTTGTGAATTGTATGTTCCATGCCACGGCTTTAGACTACTCAAACTGGCCCTCACAATTGGCTTTTTCATAAGTTGTATTCCAGTCCAAAGTAATAACAGCTATAAATATGCAGACATTTATCCTATGACTGCAAATATATCCTACATATCTTGTGTCAGACTATGAGAACAACATATGATACAATCTATATTGAAATATTAAGCCTTTCTAAAAGTTGTTACATAGCAGAACTGAGAAAGACCTGTTCCCAACATCTTGGACAATCACCATCTGTCAGTGACAGAGTCATTTATCACACTGTCACACTTTCTTTTTTTCCTTTTTGACTTATTATCTAAATCCAGAGAGTTTGTTGGTTAAAGAACAATTGGCTACATCCAACAAACTGTGATTAACAGCTTGTGATTTACTATGCATGATCAGATTCACTAGCCATATAAAAAAAGCAAAACCTGATAAATGTAATGGTTGAACTTAGAATAAACAAATTCCTTATAAAGATTCCGTAGAAAACATACAGCTAGCTAATAATTGGTTAACTTTGTGGGAAACATTCAGGGGGGATAATTCCACAAGATGATATAATGACCCATCTGCCTGGTAAATTATATAAGCCTGGTATTGCTGGCCATCTAAAATGAATTCTGATTATATATTTTATTTTGACAGTGACTGGTTTAATGTCCTAAGTCATGTGCATAGCGCCACAGAGCAACAGCTGAGAGAAATGCAAGATGAACAAGCCAATCCAAAGAATGCGGTGGTGAGCAACAATTAAGAGAACATCATGCTTGAAAGATTGTGTTGTCTCTCATGAATTCAGTAGTTGATTATGTCTTAGTGATACGGTTGCTGCTCATCAAAATGGTCTAATTGGCATCTCATAGAATCATCATAGAAGATCCTGTCCAAAACTGTAAACTAAAAGCCCTCATTAGTTGATGCCATCAATCGCAACAATAGGTAATATAGTCCAGTGGCCCCCCAATCTTTTGGGCACCGGGGACCAATTCCATGGAGAGAGGTTTTTTTCTGGGGACTCGAATGGGCGTGGTTTCTTGTGCTTCCTGTATCCTGCAGATGGGGGATTTAGTTGCTTAGTTGCATGGCCCGGTTTCTGGCAGGCCGCGTAGCCCGGTGCTGCTCCACGGGCCAGGAGTTGGGCACGCCTGCTTTAGGCCACCACAAACAGTGTAATATAGATTTTCTGGAAATTTGTGATAGGTCCTTTTGTGTATCTTCTGCACTTGGAACAGAATCATGTTTGTATAGTCAGTCTGATACTGTGTATACACGAAGAGGATATTTATGGTTCTTAATACCCCATCTGAGGCGAGATAGAGGCAGGGCACAGAATGCTTAAAGTCCAGTCATTTAAGAAGCCAGCTAGTTCCTAGCCACCTTGGACATTATAGGTTATCTGAAACAAATTTGAGAAAAAAAGGCAGGAAAGAAAATACAAAGTTTCAGAAGTATATCAGTTCTATATTTACTATTATAACTTCATGTTATTGTTTTAAAGGGAACCCTTGATGTTGGGCTTATTGATTCTGTCTGTGCATCTGATAATCCTGACAGGTAAGCTTTGTATTTAATTAGATTGTGATTGTTTTCTCATTGGGTTTTTTTCCCTTCTATAATTTTAACATTACTATAGTATAGCAGCATTGCTATAGGGAAATATATTTAAATTCATAAACCACATATGTAGATAAACTACAATTGCAAAAAAGAGCTGCTTAAAATGTTTTCACCCATTTTAAGTATCTCTCCAAGGGCATTGGTGTTTTTTAGTGTGTAATCATTAATGCCAAAACCTACTGCTCTCCCCTTAGTAATATTTGGTAGCTGTAGTTTACAGCTCTGCTGTGAGGACTCTTTTATTCCTCAGCAGATTATTTGGAACAATTTGTATAGTGTGTAACCCCTCAAATACTCATGTTTGAGAAACATATTTCCACAATTCCCCTTCCTGGGGTGGTTCCCCTCTTCTGCATTATTTTAAAAACATAGTTTTGCCAATGGGCATGGGGACCCCCCCGTACCCCCCAGAGGATACAGAGCCAATCAGGTGGTTGGTTGGATGGTTATGGGGGCGGGGTATTGGGTTTTATGTTAGAGATTTATTTCTGTAAGCCTCTTACAGAAACAAAAGAGTCACTGTGAGTTGGGCGATCATATAGATTTTCTTAATAAATAAAATAAATGAATAAAATATTACACACAGCAGGAAGCTAAGGCTGTCCTCGTACTTCTACAATCACCCCATAGCGATGAGTGGCTTTTCTGGATGGCGTGAACTTTGAGTCCTTCACCATATGCACCTGGAGAGGAGGTTGTTGGGAAAGAGGAGGAGGAGGAGGTCCATGTGAGTCTAAAGTGGCAAAAACATTGGCAGCTACAGGACTCCTGGTTTTTTTACATCCTTGAAAAAGAAGCATAAACTCAAGATCAATAAAATCAGCATAGATTTGGATTTCAGAATTTTAAATAATAGTGTTGATTACAATGGTGCAACTAAATAAACTGAGGTGTTTTAATGGTAGAGACTTTCTGTAATAGAGATCTATGTTTAGCCCACAGTTAAACTGTATGGGCAAGGGAGAGTCAATGCAAGTTATCTTGGCCCTCAAGATAATCCATTTGTCTTTAATTCCATTTTATCTGATTCTCTGAGAAGAATATCTAAAAAGGAAGGAACCTGTGTTAGAGAGTGCTTGCTGTGCTAAAAACATAAAAACTAATGGGTTTGATCAGATGATTGGGACTATTTTAATTTCCAGGTGTGTTCCTCAAAATGCAGTGATTGTGGGAAGCCCAGTAGCAGCACATGAGGTCAATATTAATATTAAACTCACACCTTATCTTTCCTGGCTCCTGGTATTTACAAAATATACCTCCCCCAATAATGGAAGCAATACTAAACATTTTTTTCCAAATGACAAGGTGGAAACCTACATCATGTATGTTTTCTTCCTAACAGTTTAGTCTATGAGGAAATACTCTGCTTTTGGGGGGCCTCTACAGTTTATTTATTTATGTATTCATTAGTTTAATGCCTATCAGACCAGAAACCTTTTCTATAGCATGTTTGTGAGCATCATGATCGCTCTCTCTCTCTCTCGGACCTGGGAAATAGAGATGTTCACATCTCTTCCCAGGAAGTAAATTCTGTAAAGGTTAAATAGGTGAGCACAGTAAGTTTTCCATGGCAAGGATGAGATGAAGCACCTTCCTTCTACTTTGCAGGCCAAATTCCTTTGTGATCATCACGGCAAATAGAGTCATTCATTGCAACAGTGACATCCCTGAAGAGATGCACCACTGGATCTCTCTCCTACAGAAGCCCAAAGGCGAATCCAGGGTTGACGGGCAGGAGTTTATTGTGAGAGGTAAAAAAAAAAGAAGATGCGGAGATGACCAAGGCAGAAATAATCAGCTAAATCCTAAAGGTGCTTTTCCAAGAGGCAACTGGACTTTCTTGGTTTATTTTCTTGAAAACATTTCGCTTCTGATCCAAGAAGCTTCTTCAGTTTCTCCAGAATGGAAGAAGAAGCTTCTTGGGTGAGAAGCAAAACATTTTCAAGGAGAAAAAAACCCCAAGAAAATCCAGTTGCCTTTTGAAAAGCACCTTTGGGACAACCATGACCTGGATGATTGAGAATTTCCATAGACAATCAGCTAAATCAATACTTAGTATGAAATGTTGAACTTTAGTTCAGAATTCCCAGCCAATGTGGGTGCAGGAGCTATATAGTTCTTTTTATGAAGTCATTAAACATAGGAAAGGCTGAATAAAGCAACTAATTGAAAAATTATCAAGATTTTGCTTATTTTATGCCCCAGGAAATTGGGAAGATAAAACATTCTGCTAGTAAAAGGTTCTTTTACAGTGCCGTTTTTAGCCAGTCACCAGAGTCATAACACAGCTCAACCGTCTCACAAACAGAGAGAGTAGTGCTGGCAGCAGCTGGATACAAAGCTATCAATGGCCAGGAGAATTGAGATAAAATCTTGACTAGAAGAGCGAGCTATTAAATTCTGAGCCAGGAATTCATTAGGTGGGTCATCCGGCAACCTGTTGAAAGGCTCTACAGGGGGATTGTGATGATTGCTATAAAGATACCTGGCAGGTGTTTATGTTTCTATAAATAATACTGAACAAAACATGCTAAACTTAATATAAAGCTCCCTCCCTTGGGTGTGTTTGGGTTGTTATTGTGTCTCAGGAGTCATGAGCGTTTTGCTGTTGTTTGTAATGTTATTGATAGTTATTTAATAATCTGTGATACTGCTCTGCTATTTTGGACTTTTTATTGAAAGAAAGCGTAAGAAGCTGGATTGGAGTTGCATAAGAACTCCAGTAAATAAATCAAATAGCTGCTTAGTTCAAGAAAATGCAACTTTGGGGTGTGTTTGTGTGCAATTATATTAATACAAATTCATATACTTAAAATATATGAAATATAATTATTCCCCGCGGATTAATAATTTTCCTCTTTTGACATGTTGAGAATGATTACTTAGTGACAATTTTTAGAGGACATCATACCCCAAACTGTTGGAAGCCACCTGCAGCTCTGGGAGTATCATATAGTACAATCTTAGTGTAATTACTTTAAATAGAAAGTCAGAAGGTGAAGCTGGAAAGTTAAAAAAAGGAAGACCTGATGCTTCACCATAGCTCCCTCAGCAGCCAGGAACCCAGATGTACTAAAGGAGCACAAGTTTTCTGTTGCTGAGTCCGTGGATCCTATATTTTCTGCCAGGTTGGCTACATAAGGAGGTCCAGAGCAACAGCAAGACATTGTCTCCGAAGCTGAAGAAACGCTGGTTTGTACTGACCAGCACTGCCCTTGATTATTACAAGTCTTCCGAACGCACTGCCACCAAGCTTGGGACGCTTGTTCTGAACAGCCTCTGCTCAGTGGTCCAGCCCGATGAAAGAATCTTCAAAGAAACCGGTAAGAGCTAACAGTGTAAGCAGGTTGCAAGTTCTTCTGACACCTGCAAAAACTTTGGAGGATTTTATTGCATTCATTATGTGCAATTATATATAGGTGGAAATATGTCTGAATTTGTAATGGGACATGGGCATAACTAGCACATTGTTGGGTAAATGTCCTCATGCAAATGTCTTCATGCTGCATGTAGAGCAGGCATAGGTAAAATTTTATTTTTTTATTTAAAAATATTTAAACAATAAAATGAATTGCTACATAAAAGGAACAAAAGTGCATGAAAAATGATATCAGTAAATAAAGAATGTACAGCGGTTCTAACATTTAAGGTTTGTTTATTAAATAATCAAATATATAAAATTGAACTCATCGTCTTCAGAAATAATTACAAATCATTATGGTACCAAAATGGTGAACATTATTTTACGTAATTATTATTTTATGTAATGATAAACACCACTGTTTAAGTGCACGCGATCTTATGAAAAAGAAAAATGAAAAATAAATACTAAAAAAAATCCTTGAATAGCAGAATGTCAGAAGGTGCCAGTACAGCCAACAAATTTCACAGATATTTATGATATAAAAACCATGGCAAAATTAAAACTTAAAAGCATCTATTGTAAAGCAGCTTGACAAGAACATGGAATTACATGAAAGCAACAATTAGTCTAATCTCGACTCTAGCCATACCCTCACCCTAAAATTCCCTTGTATTCTAGATACAGTTATTGTTGGAAAAGTATAATTATGTTGCAGATGTGGCGCATCCAGATTCTAGAAACAGATTAAATCACAGTTTGATAAGATACAGATAGTCCTCAACTTACGACCACAATTGAGCCCAAAATTTCTGTTAAGTGAGATATTTGTTAAGTGAGTTTTGCCCCATTTTACAACCTTGCTTGCGTCAGTTGTTAAGATAATTACAGTTCATAGGTTAGTAATCTGGTTGTCAAGTGAATCTGGCTTCCCCATTGACTTGGCTTGTCAGAAGGTTGCAAAAGGGGATTACATGAGGCTGGGACACTGTACCACCATAAATACAAGTCAGTTGACAAGCCAGCTGTATTTTGATCACATGGTCATGGTCATGGGGGTGCTGCAACGGTCATAACTGTGAAAAATGGTCATAAGGCACATTTTTCAGACTTTGAACGGTCACTAAATGAACTGTTGTAACTCAAGGACTACCCTTATATGCTGATAACCATGAGGACAATTTTACCTCAACATTGGAAAAGAGATACATGTCAGTAATATCAGGCTAGGAAAAGCAAACCTGGGAGACAGACACACAGCACTAACTAAATTAGCAGGTTATATCAGAACAGTAGGTGGGTGAGTTCTTACACTAACACACCCATGTTCTCACAAAGATCATTATTTGAATTCAGGCATACAGTTGATCTTTCTTTTATATATTCATGTATGTTTAGAAAAACAGAATACTCCTTTACATTTTCCTTGAATTCTGGGTTAGTAGAATGAAGTCCCTTCTCATCCAGAAGTTGTTAGGAGAAACGGTTTGCTTTGCTTGTCCACTAACAACTTGCTGACTGGCTAGGGAAAAAAAAACAGAAAAATATAATTAGGTCTTAGCTCTGCATTCATACTTGAGGAGCCCAGGCTGTTCTTAAACCAATATTGTGCAACCTGCAGCTCTTAATATTTCATTCATTAGTTTCTTGAAGCAAAATAGATTTCCATGTTCAATGAATGATGGAGCAGTCCTAATCACAGGTTTTAATTAGCATTCTGATAGCAGAACCAATAGCTTTCAAAGCCTTTGGGCTGCATATTTAACACTGCACCACACTGCAGTTGAACAGAACATATTGTCTTCATGTCTTGGCTGAGTAGCACCTCTTCCCGTCTTCTCTATTGCCTTGCTTGTTATTTACTGGTCTGAAATAGTGACACACTCACCTTAGTTGTGTTTGTGCCAGCAGGTTACTGGAACATCACTGTGCATGGCAGAAAGCATTCATACCACCTCTACACAAAGTTGTTGAATGAAGCCATGCGCTGGGCCTCTACCATCCAAGGAGTCATTGACAGCAAAGTTCCCATTGAAACACCCACGCAGCAACTTATTCGTGACATTAGGGTGAGTTCCACAAAGTTGTAATTGAGCTCTACACAGAAGCCATAGTTCAATCTCTTTCTGGATATGAACACAACTCCAGGGTCCTGGCAAGCCTTTCTTGTTTTTAATCACAAATGCACTTTTTAATGTATGAACCCCCTTTATTCCTATCCCCGTCACTAAATCAGAGGCATTTGATAATATTATATAGCTATATGCATACACATTTTTCACCACAGACTTTACTGACAGCAGTATGTGTGTATAGCATAATAAAGGCTACATATTATGTTGTACCAGGGCTTAAATCTAGTACATCATACATGTCACATGTAGAAGATTGCTGATTCAAACTAATAATTAAATGTAATTAAAAGTAATGACCTTTCAACATTCACAGTAATATTTTCTCTGGAAAAAAAATAAAATTTATTGTGAATGGACTAATGGGGGCCTGGCTTTTGGTACACCCTGTATATTGGGAGGAGAAAGGCAAAGCCACTGGTAACATCTCCTTTTCTCTCCCTGTCCCCTTCTGTTTGCTTCAGGAAAATAATACTAATTCTGAAGTGGTAGAGCAAATCTACCGAAGGAATCCTATCCTGAGATACACCCAGCATCCCTTGCACTCACCACTGCTGCCATTGCCTTATGGAGACATTGGGATCAACAGTAAGTAACTACGGCTTTGACATTTGAGGAACCGAGTCAGAAGGTGCAAAAGAAAAAAATGTCAAAATGTAGCCCGTGAGAGGACAGGGCAAAGTTACGGAGTATAAGTCTCATATCTAGAAAACTGAAAATGAACAGTGTAGTCCTATAGATAGTTGATTAAAAAGCAAGATCCATTATTTTAGTGAGACAAATTCATAAGTATACATAAGCAAAAAATGTTTTTAGTGCTGTTGCCTTTAGATTAAGCATGCAAAACCGAGTTTGTTCTTTTAAACAGGATGGGACACTCTCATATTCACAAAGTTTAAAATCATTACAATGCAATTAATAATAGCAATAATATTTAAAATATATTTTACCCAGACAGAGGGGAGCCCTCAGGAATTAGGCTGGTAATTTGGTTCCCTTTTCTAACTTGAATGAAATCAATTTTATTACATTTCTTATTGCATCAGTTATATTCTTAGCTCAGATTGTCTTTTTTCTGCCTTTCAGAGCAGAGTAGAATCTAGTGCCTTTCCAGATGGAAAAAGGAAGGTGGTGGAGAATCCTACATTGTTCTAGGAGAACAATTATGCACACTATCCTGTGTGACTGCAGTGAATGAGTAGAGCCACCTTCTCTAATCTGGCACTGTCCAGCTGTGATAAATTTTATCTACTATTTATAGTTTTAGACATCTGGTGGATACCAATTCAGAGAAGGCTAAAATGGAGATTAGTAACTGTATTTTGCAATATCCCCGAGGAGCATATATGTAATTTTCATGAGATTATTACACCTGAAACTGCCTAACAAACAGATATTTCCCAAGGAGGTACTGTACTGATTGTCCTCTCCCTTGCCTTGTTCTTGTGGCTCTTTTTCCCTTACAGTGCAGCAAGAGAAGGGCTACAGCAGTCTTCAGGATGAAGCCATGAAGATCTTCAACTCCCTTCAGGAAATCGAGTCAGTGTCTGACCCTATCCCCATTATCCAAGGCATCCTTCAGACCTGCCATGACCTCAGGGGCCTCCGCGACGAAGTCTATTGTCAGCTGATCAAGCAAACCAATCATGTGCCACAGCCCAACAGCCCTGGTAATCTTCATCACTGGCAGCTCATGACCTGCATGAGCTGTACCTTCCTTCCCAGCCGGGGAATCCTCCGTTACCTCAAGTTTCATCTCAGGAGGTAAGAGGTATTCTGTGCACGCTCATGCTTTCATCGCCTTTGGGTGTAGATCGCAGCTGAAAGTTAAAACTAGACCAGATGCTGGGAGAGATTCTGAGATATGCTTTATGTCCTGTATATTGTAAAACCTTCAATGTGATGTGTTTGCATTGCCTCTCCTGAGAGGCAATTACACGGTTGTGCTCTTTATTCCCTGGCATTATAAAAATCAAAATGTAAAATACTAGCCCTGTCGTCAGAAAACTCTAAATACCCTCTGGTGGGAGAGGCACAAATTAGTATAACGTCTTTAAATCAAATGACAAAATCGTCTCGTGGGTGATAAATAACTTACGGCCTTTGAATGAGTTTGGCTTCTCTTATGCCACATACAAATGATGGAAGGCTCTGAATCAAAACGTGTTACAGGACACTGTACTTCTTCTTTTCCCCATCCCAGAGTAAAAGATCTCTTTCTGGGCACAGAAGTAGACCGGTATTCTCAGTTCATCACGGATTCCCTGAAGAGAACCAAGAGCAGAGAATTTGTCCCCTCCCAGGAGGAAATACAAGCACTTATCGCTCGGGAAGAAATGACCACTACCGTCTATTGCCACGGAGGAGGTTCCTGTCAGATCACTATCAATTCTCACACCAGTGCAGGGGAGGTAAGAAGACTTTTTTAAAAAAGTTGGGCTGCCTAGGAACTCTTTCATTGCTGTCTCTTCACTGGCTGATACAAGAAAGAATGAAAAAATTGGAAATGGAAACTCTCTTCCCTTCTGATCTGCAGGCCAGTTCCTTAGAAACTCTGTCTCAAAATGTACATCCTTTGTCCAGTCTGTTGGTAGCCTTTCCCAATCACATCTTATAGCCCAATTCCGTTGTTGAACATAGAATAACTTGGTTGGGCTCAACTTTCCTTCTTTCTCTCTCTACTTCCAGGTGGTAGAGAAGCTGATCCGGGGCCTGGCCATGGAAGACAGTCGGAATATGTTTGCCCTCTTTGAGCGCAATAAACATGTAGATAAAGCCATTGAGAGCAGGGTGATTGTAGCAGATGTTTTGGCCAAGTTTGAAAGGTAAGAAAAATAACCATACTTGGACTTCAAGTGTGTGTAAGACATAGCTGCAACGTTGAGTGTCCATAGTGTGAAAATATCCATACAAATTATTAAGGCCCCAGCCCCTCTAAGTTTAGTTTTTGTTGCTAAGAATATTATATTTTGCACTTCTTGCTAAGGCGGCTATGGCTCATTTGCAATACCATGCTTCATATATCTAAATCTGTACTCGCACAAAATTACAAATGTGTCCTGGACAAAGTGTTTTTAAGCCCCTTCTGTTTCTTGGCCCTCTCCTCCCAACATGGCCATATGTTACCTGTAATGCCTAAAGTTACTTGGCACAAGCAGTATCAACATCTCATAATTTGCCCTGTCCCACTCACGCTACCATTTGCAGTGATATGAAAACGTTGGTGGGGTACTATGTGCTGAGCTGTTATAAATGTTGTGGAAGGAGTTGCAAGAAGTAGTTTTCAGTGACAACCCTTGATCCATGATCCAAATGATCCCCAAACTCTCCTCCTTTGTCTTTAGACTTGCTGGATCCATGGAAGAGGACGTGGACGGCCATTGGCAGCTGTATTTTAAACTCTATTGCTTTCTTGATGTTGAAAATGTTCCCAAGGAGGGAGTGGAATTTGCCTTTATGTTTGAGCAGGTAAGCCTTCCATGAGACAAAACAAGCAGCTAGATTCATACAACTTCATTGGGTTAAGGATGGATGTAGCATGTTAGCAAATGGCAAAACTTAACCAGCAGTACGATTGAAGAGGTTTCCCTTTAGCCCAACCAAGGAGCCTGTTTTAGGTGAAATTACCCGCTGTCAGCAATGCCAAGCAAATGCCCAAACCCAATCAACAATGGGCAATTTTTTAAAGGTCACCCAGTTAGTCCTTGACAGAAAATTTGAAATATTGGGAGGCTGAAAAACATGTCTGTTTCAGAGTTCAGTACCAATAGCTTGAGGAGGTGTTGAGCATCGGAACACATCTTCTCAAACTGCTGCTGCCTTCTATGCAGCCAGTTCAGAGGTGTTATTCAACCGGTTTGCACCTACTCAGGCAAACCGGTAGCAGTTATTTGGCATGGGTCACCGAACCGGTGGCAATCCCTGGCTGGCCACGCCCCCAACCCGGTCGCCCGATCGCTTACTTGTGATCGCTCTCCAAGCTTTCCGTTCCCCACGTCCTCTTTCTCCCCGGGGGAAAGGAAGAAAGGCATGGACGCTGCAAGTATTGCTTTCCCCTTGTGAGTTAAAGTGCTGGAGTGAGAAGAAGTGCAGTCTGACAGGGGGCGGGGGTGAATCGAGCCTTGGAGCACTTTTGCAATGTAAAAGAAATGCATTTTGGAAGCAGGTCTTTTAAAAACTTCTCCAAGGATTCCCCATGGATGCTGCAAGTATCGCTTTCCCCCTGTGAGTTAAAGCGCTGGAGTGAGAAGGAGTGCGGTCTGACAGAGGGGGTGGGGGAATCCACTCCAGCCTTGAAGAAATTTAAAGGAGCTGCTTCCAAAATGCTTATCTGTTAAGTGCTGTGTGTGTGTTTGTGTGTGTTTGTGTATGAGAAAGAAAAGAAAGAGGGAGAGAAAGAAAGAAAAAATAGGAAGAGAGAGACAGAGAAAACTCTGTGCTATTATTTTTAATCGTTCCATTATTTATCATGTGTTAATATTTTACACTGTCCCTACACCTAGAGTGATTTTTCTGCCTTTCTTTTGCCCAGGGCTACCACGTATTTTTCAGGGTTTACATGCATTCAGTGTCAATAGTCCAGAACATAAAATACACATGTGTTTAACAAGAGTTGAAAGGGACCTTGGAGGTCTTCTAGTCCAACCCCCAGCTCAGGCAAGAAAACTGAGGATGCCAAACTCTGAGTAGAAATCCTGGGAAAGGTGTCAGAATAATACTTAGAAGGGACCTTGGGGTGAACCCTATACCGTTTCAGAGAAATGGCTGTCCAGTCTTTTCTCAAAAACTTCCAGGGATTGAGCACCCAGAACTTCTGGAGACAGGCAGTTCCACTGGTTAATTGTTCTCACTCACAGGAAGTTTCTCCTTAGTTTTAGGTTGCTTCTTCTCTCTGTTCAGTTTCCAACCATTGCTTCTTGTTTGCATTCTGCTTCTTTGGAAAATACATTGTCCCCCCTTCTTTGTGGCAGCCCCTTAAAAGCCTGTTGCCTATCACACTCTTGGGCAAAGCATGTGAGCCATTTCCTCCTTTCAGTGGTCCATGAAAGTACATCTATAGTATGCAGATAATAAAGTCAAAAAAGGTGAACATTTGTACAGAACTATAGATAAGTTGAGGCTGGGTGACAAGGAATGGCTGGGAGGGGAGGGGCCAGGTGAGTGATATGAGTGACATTGAGTTGGCCATGCCCACCCAGTCACATGACCACAAGCCACGGCCACAGAACCAGTAGTAAGAAATTTTGAATTCCACCACTGAGCCAGTTGGAAAGGGGGCAGTGAAGTGATGAAGCCTTGCTTGCTTCATCATAGGCAGGAAGCTTATAAAAAAACAGACAGAACTGGAAAAAAATAGGAGGGAATTCCATAGTCCCTAAAATGGGAGTTTTTGATGCAGAGTTATGTGCTGCCAGAAGCATTGATCAGGGCTGGGTGAGGAGCTGACTGAGCCAAAGGTTTTAAGCCAATAGATCAGGGGGTTGGTGTTTAGATTGATCAGACTGAGATAAAAAGAATTAGCATGCTTTGGCACATCGCTGTGAACAAGCCAAGTCGATCTACATTACCTGAGAAAACAAGACACAAATCATAATAATGTAATTACGATAAAACAGAATTCCAAGGTCAGGAGAGTCTAGGCTACTGAACATCTTACAGGTTTTAATCATAATAGTTGCAAGCTCACATTTTACACATTTCAGTACTAGTATCACCTGTGCAGTATATCCTGAAATGTGATACTATTAACCACACTACACTACAAACAGATATAAAAGGCTGGGAATAATCGTTACTTCTGACTTTTTAACAGGCGCATGAAAGTCTCATTGATGGTCACTTTCCTGGCCCAGAGGAGACCCTGCAACACTTGGCATCGCTGAGACTGCAGTATCTTTATGGGGACTATTTAAAAGTCTCCTGGTCCCTCGACAGCGTCTATCCAGTGAACCGTCTGAAGTTGAAAATTCTGCAGTCCATGAAGAGCAGCGGTTCCAGCAGCCAAGTTCTGGAGAGAAGGCGGACTAGCTTCCTGGAGGGCACTCTGAAGCGCGGCTTCAAGACAGGCTCAGTGAAGAAGCAAAAAGTGGAAGAGGAGCAGATGGTAGAGATGTGGGTGAAAGAAGAACTGTCAGCAGCTCGGGCCAGCATAGCGGAAAAGTGGAACAAACTGCAGGGGTTGCTACAGCAACAGGCCATGGTGGCTTACATGGCAATCATGAAAGAATGGTCAGGTTACGGCTCCACTCTCTTTGACGTTGAGGTAAGAGAGACATGGAAGCAGGTGTGGGGTAAAGCGCAGTGATGCTCATCAGCAGCACTATCTCTGCACATACCTCCACCCCATAGTCCAAGTGTCCTCCTGATGTTTTGTGTCCCCCCCCCGCCCCCCCCCCCATGATCTGTTAATTGGTTTTGGTGCATGTGTGAAATGTTGGCCTCTATCCACCTGACATCTTCTGCTGTGTTCCATTTGGACAAACAATCCAAGGAAGGAAACATAGCATGAAACAAAAGGTTTTGCCTTTTCAGTATTCCCAGCTGCCAAGGAAGGAAGGAAGGAAAGGAGGGACAAGTTGAAGAAGAAAACTGGGATGCAATAAGGAAAAGGAGGAAACGGGGGGTGAACATGCAGTATGCATGTTGGTGATTCTAGATTTCTGTTGCATTGTGAGATTCAGATGACACCTTTTGTATTCAGGATCATAGGAAAGTTACTTGGTTTCTAGAATCACCTGTTCCTCTTTCTTTCCCTTCCTTCCTTCCTTCTTTCTTTCTTTCCTTTCTTTCGTAGATGGAGACTTTTATAAGTGGAGAAGTCCTTGTATTAAAACACAGCATAGAAAATTTCTGAGTAAAGAAGCCATTTTAATTTAGTACTTTTCACCTGTTTTGATACATATTTACAAAAAGCACTAATGGTAAAAGACAAGGGTTGAAGGAGCCTGAGGCTGGAGCAGGGCAAAGATCTCTACACATCACGTACTCCGTCAATTTCCTCAGTTACACCATCCCTGTTTGCTAACATTTCTTGGTCCTTTTCTTATAGTGCAAAGAAGGGGGATTTCCCAACGATCTTTGGCTCAGTGTCAATACAGAGAACGTGTCACTGTACAAACGGGGAGAGCCAAAGCCTCTGGAAACTTTCCAGTATGAGCAGATTATCTTCTTTGGAGCCCCCCAGCCCAACACCTTCAAGCTGACTGTGGATGAAAGAGAGATGTACTTTGAAACCCCTCAGGTACATTTTAGGGCATTCTTGTCTCAACAATTTAAACAGCTCAAAAATGGCTCTTCTAGAGCAGGATATGGGTTAGACCAGAGGTTCTGAAACATTTTGGTGACAGGATCCCTTGACATTCTTAAAAACGATTGAAAAAGGATCCTAGTACAGTAAACCTATCAATATATTCACTGTACTACGTATTAAAACTGAGAAAGGTTAGAATATTTGACTTTGCAGGCCCCCTGAAAGGGTCTTAATGACCCCACAGGAGTTCCCAGACCACGCCAGGCTAGAAAAATTATAAGGCAGAGCAGCTAATTATAACTTCAATTGGAAAGTTAGGTGGCTGGTCAGAATATCAGGCAACCCCTTCATAGACCATGTTTTCCTTCTGTTATTTGTTCAGAGCAGGAAACAAGCTACAAACTTCTAATATAATTGTGGATAGATCAATAAGGGCTTCTGAATTTTTGAACATTAGGGAGAAAAATAAGCTTTTTAAACTGCCATAGTTAGCTTTCTCTGAATACTTTTGTACGGAGACCCACTCCTCACGTCCAATACCGCCATGACGTCAGCTGGAAGTCCAGCTTTGTTGATTTGTAAAATGTCTCCAACTTGTCTTGGACCCCGAGAGAATCCACAGTGGTGTCATAGTTTACTAAATGGTTCTGATAATCTTCTTTTTATTTTATTAGGTGGGAGAAATAATTAAAATCATGAAGGCCTACATCAACATGATTGTGAAGAAATGCTGTAGCATCAGATCAGCCACCAGCTTGGACAGCCATGCAAGTATTTGGATGAGGTGATTTGATTTGCAGAGTTAATTATGCTGCTGAGAAGGACATGTGGTGTGACTCAGCCCAATTTGTAGCAGATTCATTTTGTAAGAAAACATTACTCTATAATTCTCCTTCCAGCATCTTGCCTGACAGACACATAAAGGGTTACAGTTGAACATCCAGACCTTTTATAATAAAAATTAGAACATCACAGGCTAGATCCTGTTTTACGTGGATTTTTCTTGAGCCCGCTCTTTGTGGGTCAGATCTTACTGCAAGGACAATGCAAGAGCCATCTTTGCTTGAAAGATCATCACGCGAAAAAAATTTCTGCAATAAAAGCAGCAGGAGAGTTGCTTAAGTTAATATCAGCCAGAATTCCACATCTGAGATTTTGTTAGCTCTTCCTTGGGTGGAGCATGTGTGATTTCTCAGGAATGAGCTGCTACATCTCAACAGACGTCATCTTTCTAAGACTGTTACTATCTCCAGTGGCTTCAAGCAAAGACTTCAAATTCCAAATCAGTTTTCAGTACATCTATAGGCTTGGGACTCCTGCTACATGGGAGATCAGCTGTCACAAGGCTGCATAAATGTAAAGACATGGCATTGTTCCTTCTTGAAGTCCTTCGTAACTTTTCATGCTGCATGTTTGGGGAAGTGCCACTTAGTAGAAAAAAAATATTTATCTGGTTCATTCAGAGGATAAAGTCAAATTTTATATTCCACCTGTATGCTGCAGTTCTCTTTCTTCCTTGGCAAGGAGTTTGGACTTTGCAGTATTTTGTTAATGTTTTATTTTTCTGCACTGCCATCATAGATAAGTAATGGGAAGAATTGGTGGCAACGTGGACAGAAAGAACAGCCTGAGGGCATTTCTCCTCTTCTGGTCTGATGCCTCCTGGATATGTTGTAACTGAATACATCTAAAAGGTGCCAGGCTGGAGAAAGATACTCTGAGCTTAAGGTTAAATGTGATTTGTGTAGAAAATAATAGATTGGCTCACTTGCACTGAAAACATTTTGGAAAACCGTTAAACAAAATACTATAAAATGCTCTAAATTCCTTGCTAAGAAAATAAGAGGGTCTGAACCCTCAATGCGGTTTCTGCAAAATGAACAGGTTTACTTACAGATCTAGTTGATCTGGGTTTGATAGTAATTACGAGAAATAAATGGCATCAGGGCGAAGAGGAAAGCTGCTGTCTCTCTTGGTGCTGCCCAGAGGCTTTGGGTTAGAATTCTCCCACCCCTTTTCTACTAGCTATGGCAGCTGAGACTGAAGAAGAATCCAGACATCGGAGAGCACAGGATTATTATCTAGCCTCTGTCCCAATGTGCAAGTATTCTTTCAGAGTTTATAATTGAGACATGCAAGCTCTTGAATTGTGTGCCCATGCCCAGTCCTGAATTTAAATTACAGGTAGTCCTCAACTTGCAACAGTTAATTTAGTGACTGTTCAAAGTTACAACGGCACTGAAAAAAGTGACTTACGACCGTTTTTCACTTATGCCTATCAAATGATCATGCGATTTACGTTCGGATGCTTGGCAAGTGATTCACATTTATGATGGCCACAGCGTCCTGGTGTCACGTGATCCCCTTTTGTGACCTTCTGACAAGCAAAGCCAGTGGGGAAGCCAGATTCACTTAACCAACTGTGTTACTAATTTAACAACTGCAATGATTCACTTAACAAACGGGGCAAGCAAAGTCATAAAACGGGGCAAAATTCACTGAACAAATTTCTAACCTAGCAACATGAATTTTGGACTCAATTGTGGTCGTAAGTTGAGGACTGCCTGTACTTTCAGTCACAGTACAAATGTTTGCCAATCCTAATACAGCTAAGCAACACTTCTCTGACTGGGCTTTCTCCTCATGCGTGAGCTTCAGCTCTTGGCTGAGGAATGCTGAGCTAGAGATGTCCACCTACCACCTTCTGGAAATTTCTCATGCTTCATGTTGGGGGAAGTGACACTTGACGAAAAACATTTACCTGGCTCATTCAGGGGATAAGGTTACATTTTACATCCAACTGTGTGCTGCAGAATGTCCAGCCCTCCCAGAACCCATAGAAAATGGACGTCTGCAAAGGATTTCCCAAGCAGTGACCTTCCATTCTGTCCTGTCTCTGGGGTTGCAAATGAGGAACATGGCCAGATGACTCCCCCACTGCCATCTTTTCATTCTCTGCCACCAAGGAGGAACGACTAGAGACACCCCCAAATATTTGGTGTATGTAATGTGATTACGTTGGTTAGGCTGGGATCTAAACATCACAGTTCATCTCTCTATAGACATTGCCTTAATATGCCAGACTGAGTCCCATTCCGTTGCCCTTGCATCTTTTGTTTCTGAACATGGAACCAGGGAGACAGGCAGAAGAGACACGTGACCTTATTTTCGGTTCAGCACGTTGACAAGGATAGGCTTCCTCTCAACCAAGTGCCCTCCTAATGGATCAAGAATTTCCAGTCACTGCAGCTGGCATGTCGTATAGTGGAGCGTGCCAATTAAGCTTTCACGCATGGAGGGCACCCCCACTTGGAGGAAGCCTGGCCTTCAGTCTCCATGATATATTCCTCTGCTCCCTTGAACCTGCAATACTACTGTACTGCTATATCCTGGCTCACGGGTTGCTGCAGGCAGCTAAAAACCCAATTGGGAATGTAACAGACATTAACTGTATTGCAGATTTATTTCTGCACTTCTTTGTTTAATTTGTAACTGGCTTTACAAAATGGAGGTTTAATAAATTATTGATTGCATAATTATTTTCCTTTAGTTAGTTTTTTTGTTGTTGTTTAAAGGCTTGGTTTGAAGCAATTAAATATCTCGTTTCTTGTGATTCCCCACCACCACCACCACACACACACACAATCCTAATCAACACTGCTTTTTAGACAGTCCAAAACATTTACTACACTTAATTCTAATTTGGTAAGAAAAATGCTTTTTGATCAGGATTTGACTGAGGATATTAAAGAAGCTCTCCTTGGGCCATGTTTTGCTAATTCAAAAAAATTACTTCTGGGGAAGAAGAATTCACATAGGCTTCCTTAAAAGGTTATAATTTTGTTGATTCTAAACTCCTGAACAGATCAGCCTTATGTGACCTGGCCTCATCCAATTAAACTAGTCTATTTCTAGTTCAACTTTTTTAAAACACCTTTTCATAAGTTCTTAGAACATTATGAACACTCCTCAGTAGCAGCTCAAAGCAAAATAGATAAAACAGGTCCTAAGATGAGCAAAATTTCAAGCTTCTATTTTCACTAACATTTTTTGGTACATAACTCTAAGCTGTAATCCATTAAATTACAGTAATGAATGACAAGGCTGCAAGAACTATGAGGTGTGTGTACCTCATGATGGCCTTTTCAACTTTCTCTGCTCTAATCCTGACCCCGAGACAATGGCCAGGCTAAACTGAAAGAGGAACAAGCTCACAAGCTATGCGAGGCACAAGAAAACACACTGTACACCATAGAGGTAAGCCTCTGCATTATACTTCTAATTTGGTTGCCTCTCATTTTCCCTGAAAGACCACTATCAATTCAGGGATGTGCAGCCAGAAAGGCAGGCCTGTGGAAAAGGAGCCTTTGATAATGACACTATCAAGCAACACAAATTAGTGGAAAGCTGTACCGTCCTGTTAAAGCTACACTTTAAAGAAGCCACACCGATAATATCTGAGAGGAAAATACTCTTTTTAAAAAAAAATTTGAACTGCGTTACATGTTGCCTTCTGTCAGCACATGGAGGCTTTGCATCACAAAAATACATCAGTGATGGGTTCTCATTCCCATCACTGGCCATCCTTTATGGGTGCTGAAGATGCACCCATAAATTTCATCATCATCACCAGGCAACTCTGGTCTAGAAGCTATCAAAAGCATACGTTTATTCTACAAGAGCTCACAAAAGAAGGCACAGCAAATAGCAGCCAAGAACCAACATCTGGAGAGCAGCTCTAGCTATACAAATGCACAGCTTTACCAACATTTGGGAAATACACAGGGAAACCAAGGTGTATTTTCTTCCGAGGAGTAATGGATTGGATTGAGATTAGTTTATTTGAATTTTTTTTTGGGGGGGGGGGGGGGGGGGAGTCCCTTGAAATAAAAAGTAAATCCTGTAATTGATTTACCTGCAATTTAGTGAGAGAAATATACATAGACTAGATCTAATTCATGCCCCTTAAAAAGAAGGTGGTGAACAATTTTAGCAGTAAAACTGGTGAATGATCACCTACCAGGTCTATAACTAAATCTGGAGAGGTTCACAGGCAACTTTTGAGGAGGCAGGATGGAAGGAAACATTCCTATCCTGTCTCCAGAAGGAAACAATTCTCAGTCTCATCCACCACAGGAAAGAAAAGAAAAAAGAAATCCTCTCCTGCTCTGCATAGCTCAGCTTCTTCATTTAGGCTGTGCTTCCCAAAGGTAGCCCAAACTCAGCTAGAGAGCTCCCAGTTATGGAAAGCTGCATTCAACCGGACATGTCCCTCGTTCTGGTCTTATGAAGGAACAATTTTCACCCTGTCTCTTGGCTGCAATCAATAGATAAGACACACACGGACACATGGAGACAAACACACTAAACAGGTCCTTGATCCCAGACTGGAAAGCTGCCAAGAAAATTTGTGAGAGGGGTTAAAAGATAACCTCTCCACACTCCCAGTAGCAACAGCAAATGACTACTGTTCTCTGTTACTTGAGAATGGGGAGTGGACTGGGAAGCCTAGCTCCTAGGTAGGGCCTTCACTACCCTGCGCCATCGAAAGCAAGACAGTCAATAGTTCGGCTCCGGTTTGTAGTCGTGAGGATTTTCTGGTCCAAATCCAGCGAGGTAATTCCCAATACAACTCCTCCCACACACAGCACACCTTGTGGAAACTCAGCTACAGAGTTTCTGGAGGGAGGCACTGACAACAACCACTCCACAGCCCAAGCTGAAGCTGGTTTCTGTACCGGCTCAGCACCGCACGCCCATCTCCCCCTTCTTGCTCTGCTCAAGAACAAAACTCAAGAGCTGGCACGTTTTTGAACAAGGAGTGGCCACAGAACTTAAGTCCAGGGACCGCTTTGCCAGGAACTGCTACTGATGGGGGAAAGTTGGCATTCAAGAAGGGATGGTTTTATGGTGGAGATTTCTAAAGCAGTCAGAAGCTATTGAGGGTGGAACATAGCACACCACTCCAATACATAGATGAGATAGGCTGGCTAGCATCACCTTTGCTCCTATGGCTTCTACAAGAGAGGACGGACGGACATATTTCATCCTATTTTAATTAGGAAGCCATGCCCACCAGGTCTCTCTCTCTCTCTCTCTCTTTCATATATCAAATCTAAGTAAGCGTTGGGTGGGAACTCAAATGTCCCTTGGCAGGCGGACTACAGCAGCTCCACCAATCCAAGGCTGGGAAGCAACAATACACAACTCTTCCACTCAGATTCGACCAGCATGGGATTCCTTCCTCAGGGTTGGGCTGAGGAGTTTTCCAGCACAGCCACCTCACTATAGCAGACACGAGTTCCCGCCTTTCTCTCAGATATGTTCTGCTATTCTCTTCTTAACTTGCAACCGACACTGGCTATGCTTATTTTAGAAAGGAATCTTGTGGGTGGGGGATTACTGGGTATAATCCTATATACCCAAGTAGCAGCAAGGATTGGGGAAAGGGCGCCTAATTGAGATTATGTATGTGCTTGCATGACTCAAGAGAAGGAGCAGGGATGATACTCAAGAGCCCAGACTTGTCATTATTGGCACCCATTTTCTCTTGCCCACATCCACAGATGTGGAAGCTGCCGCTCTTTCTAGAGATCAGATGCTCCTATGCGCAGCCTTTCATCTAGCAGCCAAAAGGACATTTGGAGATGGAAAAGAAGCCTCGATTCAAAGCAAACCCTTCAGCCAGAGCTTTTGCCAGCCCTTTCATAAAACATCAGCCCAAGAAAGTAATTTTCTTTCCTTGTGCTCAGATGACCAAAAGGCACCATGTGTGATGAAATAGGAGAATAAAATCAATTACAGGAGAAAGATAGGCTGCCACCTAAGTGGCAGATACATTTCTGGGCATGCTTTCCACCCATCCTGCTTTGGCTTGGAGAATCTGAAATGCCTTCTTGCCGTATCTAAGACCCTGGCAGTAGCAAATAGTGCTATTGGCACGGAGAGTACAAACTCTGTTGGCAAGAAAAGCTGGCTCCCTCCAAGGTTGGTGTGGAGGGTGGGGATAAGCCTGACAAGGAGCAACACACCACATTTACGCAACTTCTCCCTGGACAGGCTCAGATAGAAAGCAAGAGCTGTCCTGAATGAGAGCATCAACAACCGGTCCAAGGACTACTGGGAGAAGATGCCTTTGAAACGGATCTTATCCTCGTCCTCTTTCTCACGCAGGCGGGACTCCAAGTTGCGCAGCTCCCGGGTTACCACTGGGGTCAACGATGGATCCAGTTGCAATACTTTGGCAAAATCGGCCTGAGCTTCGGCTGCGTTCCAGACGGCTGCGTGAGCCTTGGCTCTCTTGAAGTAGGCTTTGACGTTATCTGTGGGGGAAGTGGCCATTTGAATAAGCTAAGTGGGATCCATGGCCTGATGCCAAAGATCCCCGAAGGCCTGCTCTAGTTTCAGCCTTGATGTTTCTCCTCCCCATTAGAAAGCCACATTTCAGACTTCTCTACCTTTCAAACCCACCGTGGCTCTTGGATAGCTTACAAGCCTCCTTACCTTCATACTTGTTGAGAATAGAGGAGCAGTGATCCAGCACTTCATAGTACTCCTCGTTCAGCAACTTACATTGACAGTAATTCAACAATAAAGGAGTGATCTGTTGGTCCAACTGGATCCAGTCGGCAGATCCTGGCTGCTCCTATGGCATGGAACAAGAGAAAGGGCACGAAGCATGGGTCAGCTGTAGCAACATCTGCCCACAGGCCAGAACCTTTATGGGCTGGCCTGGGACAGAATTTCTT